CTTAACATCCTCATTTTCACCTTGTTCATCTTATGTAAGTTTTGTCCTTTAATGGTCCAACAGTCACTACCATAAAGATAATTGTGACAATAACCATACTATAGAAATTGTGTTTTAACCTCTATATCTTTGTATCAGATGGAATCATTGCAGCTCTTCTTCCCCATTTCATTTAACCAACTATAATCATATCTATCACATCTCTACTAAACAACTAAAGCAATAACTATCACGTACAACATTATCATTTTAGCTACTATAATATCATCCTTAATCTTACCATGACTAATGGGACATCTTATGTGTTCTGTCTTAGTTGTACTGAAAACCTTTGGATTTCAAATTACTCATTGAAAGTTTTAACAAACGGTTTCTCCTAGTCCTAGTCTCATCAATAACTATGTCATGAGCGAATACTCTCCTGGTTTATCATTTGCTAGGTTTTGGGTGTCTTAGCCACCTTATCCATGTCATGTTACTATAGGTGTATATCTTCTCGGATGTATTTGGCCACATCATCCACTTCATTTTACTATGCCCCAGTTTGATGACCATTATTTTGAGAAAATAGATTTTTAAATAGTAATTTTTTGGAGAATGTTGGTTAAAAAATACGGAAAAATTTTAAGTTTAAATGCAAAATATTTTATTCTGTAAATACGTGGTTGAAAATGAGTATGAGAACTAAAGTATTAAGATTTGGGGGTCCATCTTAAAAGGTCAACCTTCTTAACAGGAGTAGCCCAAGATCTTTATTAATTGGTCTGTGTCAATATCTTTATTCGATGTGGGATTATATCCCTTAACAGAAATAAAAATAAACCCCTAATTAAATTAATTTCTTCTATTCCTCAAATATACTTTGCCAACCCTCACTAACCCACCTCGTTCCCATTATTTTAACATTTTGATCTTCTTTTTATATATAAATTTACGTGAATCAGTATTTGACACGTAGAGTTGTTGTGAGAACCTTGGTTACTGGCATCAAATGTACTGAAGCAACTAGTCATCTATATTCTAACTGTTATTATTTTTTTTCAGTGCGTTGGTAGGCCTCTTTTTCCCTGCTGTAACAGGAATCATGGCAGGTTCAAATCGTTCTGCATCACTCAAGGACACTCAACGTTCCATTCCCATTGGGACATTAGCTGCAACTTTGACGACATCAGGTTTATATATTATTTCGGTGCTATTCTTTGGAGCCCTTGCAACAAGGGAGAAACTTTTGACTGACAGGTATAGAAAGTTCTGCCTAGCTTTTCCACAATTGTCACAATAACTTGCTGTTTCAGTCTGCTTCTTTCCCTATTTGATTACTAGCTAATTTTCTGCTTTGACTATATGTTGTTTCAATTGGCAGTTTTTATAACATTTTAAATTCACTTAAACAAGCAATTCTATTTCTAGGCAGCTATTTCTGTGGTGTTTTATATGGTAGTTGAATTAAAAATCTGTCTTCAATTTCAATTTCATGATATTGTTTTGCTGTGTATGCTTAGTTTGTTTCTATGCATTACTTATCATAAATCAAGTTACTTGTTAACAATCAATTTTTCTTTTGTTTTGCGTATCATAAGATATGTTCTTTCATGATGGAAGAGATGAAGTGATCATAGTTTAAGTAGTGTTCCGGTCCTTACTCAGCGACCATATTATGAGTACATTTAGTAGTGCTGAATCACTTGATCTAAAAACTTAAATTCTTAGATAGGCCCACATTTATATTATTTAAATATTATCTTCAACAAGACTAGGCAAGATTTTATTTTTTCTGTCAAAGCCTAATACGTGAACAATTTAATTCAAATAGGTTGCGATGATACTTGAACTCAGGATCTTTCCTTGTGCTATGATATCATGTTGAACAACTTGGTCTAAAAGGTTAAGGGTCCGTTCTCTTTACCATTTTCAAGTCGTTTTCTGTTTTCGATTTTCCATAACAGTGAAAGCGCATTCTCTTTTCTATTTTCAACAACGCATTTTTGAAAATAAGTTAAAAATTTACAAAGAAAACTCAAAACGACAAATTTGTCATTTTGGGTGTTTTTAGTTATAATAAAGTCAAAATTTTCAAAACGCGTTTTGGGTATTTTCAAAACAATTTTTCAAAATGCCAAAAAGAAAACATTTTCAACAATCTCAAAACGAACATTCAAAACACAAAACCCAAAATGAATTCAAAACTCAAAACACAAAACTGAAACACAAAGAGAACGCCCCTAAGTGGTTATACAAAGCCATATTTATATTATTTTCAACAAGAAGGGCATGTAACAACCTTTGTTAATTTATCCATTGGGGTAACCATTTGTTTCTTCTATGGTATAGCATGATCCTTTAGAACAAAATGCCTTTTATATCCATTGGGTAACCATTTGTTACTTTTGTGATGGCATGTTCCTTTTGGACGTTGAGAATATTTTTGAAAGCGGACAACATTTTTGTGTTTTAATTTTTCCATACTGGAGTGTCTGCTTGTAATCTGAAATTTCAAGAATTCGAAAGATAAATTAGCAAATCTTTGTTGCTGTTATTATCTTATTGCTGGGTTTTGTATTGGTTAAGCCTAATTACTTTTCTTATTTTATGGCATAACTTTACTGCTTGTGCAGGTTACTTACAGCTACAGTTGCGTGGCCTTTCCCTGCTATCATTTATATTGGTATTATCCTCTCAACCTTAGGTGCAGCTCTTCAGAGCCTGACAGGTGCTCCACGTCTACTTGCAGCTATAGCCAATGATGATATCCTGCCTGTTCTCAACTACTTCAGAGTGGCAGAGGGGAGTGAGCCTTATGTTGCTACTCTCTTTACTGCCTTCCTCTGTATTGGATGTGTTGTAATTGGCAATTTGGACCTTATCACCCCTACCGTAACTATGTTTTACCTTCTGTGTTATGCGGGTGTCAACTTATCATGCTTTCTTTTGGATCTGCTGGATGCTCCCAGTTGGCGTCCACGGTGGAAATTTCACCACTGGAGCCTCTCTCTTCTTGGGGCATTACTGTGTATAGGTTAGTTTCTGTGTCCGCAATGTAAGGTTTGATCATATTTTGTGTCTAAATTGAGCAGGATTGAAACTAGATTGTAGGAGACGAAAGGTTTTTCCCTGCCCTATATTTTGCATCATGCTCAACTATGGAGTGAAAAAAAAAATTCTCAAAAAATGAAATGGAGCGTATACATTTGATTCTGCACAGAAAATGAATTTTTTTCATCACTATATGTTCGAATAGGGCCTGCAAAATGCCGATAATTTGAAATGGGATGAAAATAAAGTTATAAAATGAGTTCTTTTTCTGAAGGAAATTTTTTAAAAACTCTGGGTAGATAGGAATACATTAATGCATTAAGCAACCTTTCGCAAATGTCTTTTTACTGCAGTATCTATGCTACGTATCTGTTCTGGGTACTGATATGGACTGAGGTCAAACTTACATGTGATGTATTTATCCACAAAATTTCGATGTCAGCATTCAGATTGTAGATTTGTAGCTTGGTGCTTCTTCCTTAGCAGCTCTCGATGACTTTGTTTCCTCTACTTCATAACAGAAGTATGCTCACACTCTATTCTCATGATTATTTTGCAGTGATCATGTTTCTGATTTCTTGGTCATTCACTGTGGTGTCTCTAGCCTTGGCGAGCCTCATATATTACTATGTGAGCATCAAGGGGAAAGCTGGGGACTGGGGTGATGGTTTCAAGAGCGCATATTTTCAACTTGCTCTTCGTAGTCTACGATCTTTGGGAGGTTTGTATGCTTGTCTTGTGAGTTACCAGTTTTTATGTCTTATGAAATATTTTTTAGCGTAACTAAGGTCTCTCCCTCTCAGTCACATGCTTGATTTTGCTTCTCATTTATTTTCTTTCCTGGAACATTATTTGTGGTCTCTATTCCTTGATAATCAAAGCCCAAAGATCTACGAAGTAGCTCATGCATGACTAACCAAGCATAAAGGAACTTGCGCCCCTTTTGATCTCTTCCATTTTTAGCTATAATATGTCACTCTCTATCAAATTTGTGAAGATTTTATCCACAACTTATTATTCTGTACGAAGGAATCTTGTCTTGTTCACTAATTGTGAGAAGGTAATGAATTTTTTTCATTTGAAAAAGGTTAGTAGTTATCTCTGAAATAGATGGCAGTTGATAAAGGAATCCTTGATCATAGTTTCCAGTATTATTTTATCAAGCACTTGTTGTATTGTGCTTCTGATCAATAATGCAATTGTACATGCAGCAAGTCAGGTACATCCAAAGAACTGGTACCCTATTCCCCTTGTATTCTGCCGGCCATGGGGCAAGTTGCCTGAGAACGTTCCCTGCCACCCTAAACTTGCTGATTTTGCAAACTTCATGAAGAAAAAGGGCAGGGGAATGTCCATATTTGTTTCTATCCTTGATGGGGACTACCATGAGCGAGCTGAGGATGCCAAGGAAGCCTGCAAAGCACTTAGTACTTACATTGACTACAAGAGATGTGAAGGTGTTGCTGAGATAGTTGTTGCCCCCAGTATGTCGGATGGCTTCCGAGGCATTATTCAGACCATGGGCCTTGGCAATCTGAAGCCCAATATTGTGGTAATGAGGTACCCTGAAATATGGCGCCGGGAAAATTTAACCGAAATACCAGCCACATTTGTGGGAATAATAAATGACTGCATTGTTGCAAACAAGGCAGTTGTTATCGTCAAGGGTCTTGACGAGTGGCCTAATGAGTACCAAAGACAGTACGGTACTATTGACTTGTATTGGATTGTCCGAGATGGTGGACTTATGCTTCTTCTCTCTCAACTCCTCCTTACGAAGGAGAGCTTTGAGAGTTGCAAGATACAGGTGTTCTGCATTGCTGAGGAGGATTCTGATGCAGAGGAACTCAAGGCTGATGTAAGGAAGTTTCTCTACGATCTACGGATGCAAGCTGAGGTAATTGTAATTTCCATGAAATCATGGGATGCCAACTCGGAACAACAAGATGAATCATCGGTGGATGCATTCGCTGGTGCCCAGCATAGGATTTCTAGTTATTTATCAGGCATGAAGGAGAAAGCTCAGAAAGAAGGCACGCCTCTTATGGCTGATGGAAAGCCTGTTGTTATAAACGAGCAGCAGGTCGAAAAATTTCTTTTTACCACCTTAAAGCTTAATTCCACAATACTGAAATACTCGAGAATGGCTGCAGTCGTGCTCGTGAGCCTTCCACCACCACCTCTCAACCATCCGGCTTATTTTTACATGGAGTACATGGACCTATTGGTTGAAAACGTGCCAAGGCTTTTGATTGTCCGAGGATATCGTAAAGATGTTGTCACTTTGTTCACATAGTCTTTTTGAACTTCTCTTATAGACATTTCTGTCTGGCAATTAAATTTTTTTCTATAAATCATTTGTTTATAGGTTTTGTAATCCCTTGTAGCACATTTACTTGTAGTAAATTTACTGTTAATTCATCCTCTTTTGTGGAGGATACGCCGTAGTATACACGGTCTCTTGAGCATTTTGGCCACATTTCTTGTTGTAGAAAATTTGTTGTGTCGGTTATTTTTTGATCAAATTAGTTTTCTATATTCTGAAATTCTTTTTCTTTAATTTCTGGTTTGGAAAATTATTGGAATATTCACTTCTTTCTGATTGTTTGCAGCTATTGGTGACAGGAAATCAATATGATGGGATTTCTACCAAGTCAACTAAAGAATGCTAGTTTATTAACACCAAGTTTGAGTCACCTTATTGTTGAATGAGAATGAAAAATATAGTCGTTATTGGAGTCCACACAAGAGATAGAAAATTTAAATTTGAATGTTGATATGATGGATAATGGTCATATTTTTCATTTTAATGAGATATAAAGGTGGTCCAAATGGGAACTAAAACGGAAAAGAAAAAGGTGCCACGCTACTACTATACTATCGGGCATTACGAGTATTTAAGCTAAAATAATAGAATTTGAAGCTATATAGCATGTTACTCATTTTAGATTCGGTATACCTCACCTTCATCAAATTTGAACGATATCGACTGACTTGTTTCCTGGTGCTTCACTCTCCTGAAATATGTAATTTAAATTGGTGTTAAGTGTAATGTTGACACAGCATATCATTTGTCTGTTCGATTTGGTGGACCCCTCCCTCACCATCGTGTTATACGCCAATGCTTATATCCTTTGGTAAATTAAGTCAAATTCGACAAAAAATCTACATATTGTGTATTGCTTTTGTTCACATCGAATTTTGTACTTCTAACGTGGTCAACAGATCTTAGGATCTCGTGTCCACGTAAGTATAATTCCTACACACCTAGACAAACTGTTATTCATACTAGGCTTCATTCGGTGGTGGTGGAGTTGGTAGTTTGCACTTCGACGGTCAAATCAATTGAAATAGTAAATATGGGTGTGGGAGGTGCTTTAAACGTGAGCCTCCAATATAAAAGTGGGTTGACTTTGGAAAGAACCGTGACAATAATAGTAGGAATAGCAAAGTTGTATTTTGAGAGTTTAAACTTACATTACTTTTGAAATGACACATTGTGGGGCTTTTATAGTAGCATATGAAGAGTGTTAGCCATGGGATGGAAGTATACGTGGCCTTATCTACACGGTTGAAGCATCTCGTCGGTGACATCAATCAATTATAAGCATTTAATGTCAATACCATTTTGTTGCTCACAATTCTGATAAAAGGTTTAGACTTGACCTAATTGGTTGGGTAGGGCGGCGACAACGATAAATTGTCACATCAATCACTTATTAAGTATTGCATAAAAAGTCTCCTCTAAGCCCCCCTTGCAGCCTCTTCCACTATGAGGGTTCGACTCAACCAAATGGGTTTGGCTTTCCATACAGGTTCGGCTTATTCATGAGGGTTCGACAAAATTGCCTCTTGGACAAGGTGACATGGAGTACGGGCCCTGGTCCGACTGCTACGTAGGATTTTTTGGGACCTTGTTAGATGAGGCGTAATAGCTTTGAACTAATCATGTAAATTGGGGTGAGCTGCTCGTCAATTCTGCTCACCTTGGAAATAAAATAATGTGAGCTGCACGCCTGGGGGAGTTGGTGGAGTGAGTCCGGTGGCGGAGCCACACTTGGGCAGTGGTCCAAAAACAATGATTTTTTTTTTTTTCTAAATTTAATTTGATGAAGTTCTATTTTTGTGCTTGTTGAGATTTTCTGGAGGAAGTATTTAAGATTGGAAGTGGTAGGGATTGAGATTAGATGAAAAAATAGTTTTCGAGCAAATTTTTTTTTTTACTTTTTAGTAACAAATTTCATAACCAATTGTAAAAAAAAATTTCACTTTAATGGACAATTTCCATGTAAAATAAAGCCAAACGTGAACAAAAAAATTCAAAATTTCAAAATTTTTTCAGATGGAAAATTATACCAATCAAACACACTTTAATTAACAATTCTCTGAAAAATAATTTTTAGGCAATTACTTTTCCTGAAATTCATTTTCTTTCCATCTATTTTCCACCATTGTAATCAAACGGACCCTAAATAAAATCAAGTGTCAAAATTATTCAAATTGATTTTTATATGTGGGACCATGGCGACATGTGAATATGGGAGAATTGGGTCAATAATAGGAGTAGAAGTGGGGGGTGGACCCAATGCCCACGATTTTCCCGCAATTTACTCTATGGATCCCACCCCATGTGATTATTATCTAAGCCATGCACATTGGTACTTGCCTCCTCCAAATCTCAAAGGTGACTTAGGCCCGTTTGACATGGTTACTTTCGTTTTTGTCCTTGCTCTTGCTTCGTGTAAAATAACTTTTGAAATAAACTATATTAGGCCTTTTTTGAACCCCATTTTTTTAATAAAAATATATTTTCGAATAGTATATTGACATCATTTCAATCACATATTCTCCAATAAAATAATATTAAACAAAAATCCAAAAAAATTCTTATTTTTAACCACTCATTTCTCATCAATACTCTATTTAAAAATGCATTTTTTGACAAAATGAGACTCAAACAAGTTCTAGTTTTTGTTTGAAAATTAATCTTTAAAAGAGTCTCTTATTCCATTACGAGTAATGTTATTTAGCCCCAATAGAGTTATAATCGCAGTCTATGTGTTGTTAGGTGATATGTTAAATGAAATGTGGAATTAAATAACTTATTTAATTATGCTTATCATTTAATTTTACATAGTGCCACATGGACGGGGTCTCTTGCGGAGCCACATTTGGGCACTAACCACCCAAAATTTTTGATTTTTTTTTTTTTAATTTGAATAGTTGATGAAGTTCTATTATGGGCTTGTGGAGATTTTTTTAGAGGAAATACTTGAGATTAGAAGTGATAGGGATTAAGATTTAGACAGGCAATTAACAAATTAGAACCCTTAAAAGGAAAAACTCAATAAATACAAGTTCACTTTTATATACATGTATATATGTATCACTAAGTAGAAGCGATGACGTAATAATGGATGCGTATTAGAGTGGAAGATAACTACTATTACTTATTCAAGGTGGTGCTGATAGGCGATTCAATGTCGAAAAATGAAATTTATTATCGAGATTCACTCGAAATGAGTTCAGTCTCGAATCAAATTCGACCATCGGGGTTGAGTTCGCCACTCAAAGCATCCAGATCGATGACAAATAGTCAAGTCCTAGATTTCGGACAATGTCGACCAAGAACCGTATATATGTATACATGATTTTTTATTTTTTTTGTAAAATAAAATATGTGATTTTTATGAATTGGGGTTATTGTAAGATATCTAGATCTTGGTAGCTGGTATTACGTTAATTTATATTCTAGTACTTTATTTGAATTAATGGCTTGGTTCTCTTTCAGTGAATTATACTTGTCTTCCTGTGTTTACTTATGGGGTTTTCAAATCTAGATTTTAAAATGACATTTTCTTCTCGTACTTTTGTTATTGGTGTAGTTGTAAGCAGCAGCAGCAGCAGCAGCAGCAGAGCCAGAGAAATTGAGAATTCAATTTTCGCCTCTGGTTTGTGTGCAATCTCCATATACCTCTTAGAAGGTTTTAATGATAAAATAAAGCAGTATTTCATCTATTGAGAAAAATATATTTAACAAAATTGATAATGATTTAATTATGTGATGTTTTCAAAATATGAAAATACGTCGGGAATAATTATAGAGTTACATTATTTATAATTATTTTTCCTATATAATTTTTGTCCATCCAAATAAAATATACTGGCTCCGCCGCTGAGTGAGTCGGTCCGCATTTTCTTCAAGTAAACTGGCTCTTGCTCGTCTCACTCTGAAACTTGAAAGCAAGCATGGCTTGGCTCATCGGTACTTCGAACACAAATTAAGGATAATTCGGAATCAACGCTCGCGAGATGGAAAAGTAAGAACAATCCAAGTTATGCATAGGCCGTGGATGATCTCAGGATTTTTGACAAAAGTAAGAAAAATCCAACTTACGCCTGGGCCTTGGATGATATCAGAATTATTGAGGTGGATTAATCGACTTATTCTTTTCCTAAATATCCTTTTCAATTACATGATGTTGAATTCAATATTATCATGGAAAGCCACATATGACCTCTAAATTTTTTAAAAATTTCCTAGTCAGATTTCCTTCTTCCTCTAGCAAATCAATGATGCCACCCAAAGTTGATACACGTAACTCAAATGACCAAAAGTATTCGTGTTGAATTGTGCAATGTGAAAGAATCAAACTCCATCTAGAAGCAAAAAGATCTTGTGAAGCAGTTAGATGATACTCATGGTCTTAAGGTATCACAATAAGCAATATATAAGATACTAAAAACGATCAATTGACTTGAAGAAGTATTATTGAACTCAACTGCAAAACATTCAAAGATGATAAAGTGCCCTACATTGGAGTTTGCCCTCTATGATTGATTTGTATGTCATCAAGAGCATGTCAATATGAGGGGTAAATTGCAAAAAGAGAAGGAAATTATTTTTCTATGGCAACTCTATCGAAGCTACCTCATTTGAATTTTCAAATGGATGGTAGGAAAAGTAAAAGCAACGACATGCAATTCGTTCCTTCCATCGTTTTGAGGAGAGTGGTTCAATTGATATGGAGAAAATTTAAGCTATTTTGCCACCAATTGGAAAGGAATTAGACAAATGGGTTTGGAATTATGCCCCTATTTGGTGCACATTTCCTCCCCAAAAATGTATTTTTTTGATGTAGTGTGATGAGGAATATATGGTTGAAAAAGAAGGAAAAGTTATTGATGTGATGGAAAATATTATTTTATTGAAAAATGTGTGATTGCCAATGAGTAGAAGAATAAGCATGAAAAAATAATGTGACTCAAATAGGGACATATTTACAATATGGATGA